GTACCTGCAGAAATTGCTGACTGCATGCTTGGCTTGATTTCTTGCATCATTCTGGTCTTCACCACCGGCCACATAAAGAAATCCATCCATCACAGCCACACACTGATTAAAACTCTTGGCTGGCATTTCCGTAAGCTTGCTCCATCCATTTTCAGGGTCTCTATACAAGATGTCTCTACTAAGGGACTTCTCAGTAAGGCCTGGGCGTCCCCCTACAGTGACCAGGACTCTGCAGCCCCCTCGGATTCTTGTTCGCCTAGACTGCAATGTGTTTTGATGATATGGAAGTAAGTGGTAGTTCATAGCATCTACAAGAAGTTTGTGACAATCAGCATCTTGCATCATCCTTGGTACAGATTGAACATAATTGACCAGGTCTTGCGCAGAGATGGTACCAAAGCGAATATTGCTCAAAAGGTCTGCAGCATATTTCACTCTCTTTTGGTCAAATTCTAACCATTTCATTGCAATCTGGAATGCTACTATCTCAGAGGGCAACTGTAAGTCATCATCCATAAGAAGTTCATTAATTTGTTCAAATGTAAGCTTCATAAACTGATCTGATTCTGCAAATTCAAGAAAATTATCCCGGATAAATTTCTGGGCTGCTGCTTTTGCACTTTTCAGGGAATATGTTTCAGCAATGTTAACGATGTACATGCAATTCTCAACACTTATCTCCCGAATCAGAAAATCGCTGCACATCTTTACAAGAGTATGGATCTGAAGATAAACAGCAGCAGAAATTATGCTTCCTATTGTATACAGGGAGAGAGTCAGCTTTCCGGTGTAGGCATATGCAATGACAGTTGCCAGGCCTAGCGGTGAGATATCATTGAGATCCACCCTTTGAGTTGATGGGTCTTTTTTTAGGATGTTGTAAAAGTACTCACTGCATGAAGCCATCACTGACTTATGAACATCAAAGGATTTGGTTTTGGTTCCAATGACTAAATCACACAGGAAGCTCTCTTGCCGCATTTTACTTAAACCTTCCAAGAGGTTGGGGCCATAAGAAGCATCTGTTAATTCAGAAGAAATGCAGCTAAGGCCGTTACCTCCCTCTAGGAGCCCATTCAAAGCATTCAGTTTGTTTAGGGGGCTATCTTCTACAATTATAGTCATCTCATTGATATCTCCTTTGTTCTTTTTGACAGTCTTCTTTTTGGGTGCCATGTTGGCAAACACACTGTTACAGGCAGAGCTTGCTAAAAAAAAAA